CACCTCCCTTTCCAAAACGTTTGCAGAGGCCTGCAAATTTTTCACGGATGGAGGGCAGTTCCCGTTTCAACATGATGCTTTCTCGTCGTTTCGCCCCAGGCGTTGCGGGCGCCGCGCACATTCGTTATCAAAGTTTGCAATACTTTCCAAAAAATGCATGGTTGAAATATCAAGAACTGTGCCCCAGCACGATCTAGGATCGTCACGACGCAATAGTCGCGCTGCTTCGTGGCGTTGAAGTCCGACGAATGGCATTCCGGTACGATTCGGGATTGTCACGACGCAACAGTCACGTTGATTCACGGCGCCGAAACCCCAGGAATGGTGTTTTGGTACGATTGAACATTCTCAAACGAATGCCTCCCAGTGGGGCGCGTCCCGGAATGATCGTACATTCTTGTAGGGCCCATGCAGGGGGACCTTGGAAAGAGGTTATATATGCAACATCGTTGATGCGCCGTGGGCTTACGCTGGTCATCCTTTTCCTTTGTCTCTTTGCAAGAAAAAGACAGCAAACAACAAAAACAAAAACAAAACAAAAAAAACGGGCGCAGGGAGCGAGGGAGCGGGCGGGAGGGGAGAGGGAGGGTGAAACCCGGGGATCGGGCACACGTGACATAGATTACGGATCCGTGGGTCTGGCGCCTGGGCGCCGTACCCATGGATCGGGGAAGCCGCACGAGGCCAACGCCGCCAAAGTTGGCGACGGAGCGCGCCGGGTCTGCACGGAACCGGGACCCTTGGCTCATCCGCGAGCCTCCACCGTCGTTTGCGTTTCCTCGAGGGGGGTCGGGATTCTTTCGTCGGCGGCGAGGCAGAAACGATCCGCACCAGCATGGGGCTACGATAGGCAAACTGCCCGGCGCGCAAGAGGGCGAGGATGACAAGAGGAAGCGGCCGCGCGGGGGGAGAACGGGGAGGTGCTCAGACGTCAAAGACTTCCGCGGTGACCGGGCTGGAGCGGCCAGCCAAGGCATCGGGGACCGCGGCCCGGAGGAGGTGGGCCAGGGAGGCAACAATAGGGGGGACTGGTTCACGGGGGGAACATCGGCCTGGAGTCGGCGGTACATCGCCTGGGCGAGATGACCCCCGCTCACGGTCCTCGGCCGAGGTGGCCATCGGGCCCCCGTCGGCGATGAAGGGGCAATTTGGGGTCGATGCCTCCCCAATGAACCTACAGAACCCTCCACAAGAAACCCAACCCTGAGACGCCAGGACGTCCATTGATTTTTGGCGTAGGAACGTCACGCTTTGCATAGCAAAACCATCGAAACCCAAGAAACCCAGGGCACCCTGGAGGCAAGCAGGGTATTCCTTGGCATGGGCCTCCGCCCTACATTCAAGATTTATAGCAAGGACGCGCGACGAATATGCAAGCCCAGTGAACGCCCGCGTCGAAGCTTGGGGCCGGGCTGGCCACCAAAAGGGGCCAAGGATGGACCGAGGAGGCAAGGATGCAAGGGGTCCCCTTTCGGGGGCGCGCAAACATGGATTAGCGATCCATGGATTTGGCGCGCGGTCGCCAAGTCTATGGATCGGGGGAGGTGCCCTCCCAAAATGCTGCCAGTGCCGCCTCATTCGGCGGCGGAAATCCGCGACTTCCGATGGAAACGGGACCCGTCGCCACTCCACGCCCCCTTGATCCATGTCTGCGATCGCCTGACCCTTGGGAAATGTGCCCGCAGCCTGCCTGTCGACTTCGACTGCATCCCCCTCCCGAAGCTGCCCCTGACGCGGCCCTTCGCCCCCGCCGGCGCGGCGGGGCGGCGGGGCGCTGGGCCCCCGGAGAGCTGCGGCCGCGAGCCCGGCGCGGGCGCACAGGTCCTGCCGCGCGCGGGAGCTGCAGGTGCGGGCCGGCCCTTCCTGTGGACGCTGGGCAAACTGCAGGACGTGGAGGTGGAGGAGGAAGAGGACAGGGCCTGAGGCGTCAGTGTGGCCAGTGCAGAGAGAGAGAGAGAAAGAGCGAGATCGGCCGACTGAGCGGTGCGACGCTCGAGTTACGCCTGGCTGGCGCAGCGCAAGGCTGGACCTCCCTCTCCTCCTCCTCCTCCTCCTCCGCCTCCTCCTCCTCCTCCTCCCCTCCTCCTCCTCCTCCTCCTCCTCCTCCTCCTACTCCTCCTCCTCCTCCTCTCCTCCCTCCTCCTCCTCCCTCCTCCTCCTCCTCCTCCTCCTCCTCCTCTCCCTCCTCCCCTCCTCCTCCTACTCCGCCTCCTCCTCCTCCTCCTCCTCCTCCTCCTCCTCCTCCTCCTCCTCCCCTCCTCCTCCTCCTCCTCCTCCTCCTCCTCCTCCTCCTCCTCCTCCTCCTCCTCCTCCTCCTCCTCCTCCTCCTCCTCCTCATCCTCCCCTCCTCCGCAAAACTCCTCAGCCTCCTCCTCCTCCCTCCCCTCCTCCTCCTCCCCTCCTCCTCCTCCTCATCCTCCCCTCCTCCTCCTTCCCCCTCCCCGTCCCCCTCCCCCTCCCCCTCCCCCTCCCCCTCCCCGTCCTCCTCCCCCCTCCTCTTCCGCGGCCCCAGCAGTTCCACACAGGCAGGGTTTCGGGATCCTCGGGGTCGGCGGTGGGGCCCAGAACTGGTGGGGCGGGTAGGGACACGGCGTCCCCAGCTCCTGCGCCAGACCCCCCCCCCACCTCCTCCCAGGTGGCCGCGGGCGGCCCAGGAGGGCCCATCCTCCCAGACGGCCTAAGACATCCAAAACGGGCCCCCACGATGACCAACAGAGAGCCCTAAGCTGGCTCGAGCGGGCTGCCCGAGTGACCCAAAACAGCCTCAGACGGCCCCTCGTGACGGCACCACGACGGCCCAAGACGGTCCTAGACGGCCATGATGGTCCCAAGACGGCCTCTTCCTCCTCCGCCTCCTCATCATAATCCTCTTCATCCTTCTCCCCCTCCTCCTCCTCCTCCGCTTCTTCTTCTAAGCATTCCCAACCCTCCTGCGTTGGGTACTCGTTTTGAATAGAGCACTGTGGTTTCCACCTTCCTCCTCCTCCTCCCGCCCCCTCTCCTCCTCTCTTCGTTCCTGCTCTCCTCTCTTGCTTCCCTTCTCCTCCTCTTTTTGCTCGTCCTCTTCTCGCTTGCCTTTTTACCTAGCTTGCCCCTCGCCATCCCTGGGGGGCTGCGATCTGCGAAACTGACGCCACTTTCGAGGGCTGCTGGGGTGGCCAGCGGAGTGACGCCCTACGGGGACTCAGATTAGACCTCGCCATCCCTGGGGGGCTGCGATCTGTGAAACTGTCGCCACTTTCGAGGCCTGCTGGGGGGCCCAGCGGAGTGACGCCCTACGGGGATTCAGATTAGACCTCGCCATCCCTGGGGGGCTGCGATATGTGAAACTGTCGCCACTTTCGAGGCTGCTGGGGGGCCCAGCGGAGTGACGCCCTACGGGGATACAGATTAGACCTCGCCATCCCTGGGGGGCTGCGATCTGTGAAACTGTCGCCACTTTCGAGGGCTGCTGGGGGGCCCAGCGGAGTGACGCCCTACGGGGACTCAGATTAGACCTCGCCATCCCTGGGGGGCTGCGATCTGTGAAACTGTCGCCACTTTCGAGGGCTGCTGGGGGGCCCAGCGGAGTGACGCCCTACGGGGATTCAGATTAGACCTCGCCATCCCTGGGGGGCTGCGATCTGTGAAACTGTCGCCACTTTCGAGGGCTGCTGGGGGGCCCAGCGGAGTGACGCCCAACGGGGATTCAGATTAGACCTCGCCATACCTGGGGGGCTGCGATCTGTGAAACTGTCGCCACTTTCGAGGGCTGCTGGGGGGCCCAGCGGAGTGACGCCCTACGGGGATTCAGATTAGACCTCGCCATCCCTGGGGGGCTGCGATCTGTGAAACTGTCGCCACTTTCGAAGGCTGCTGGGGGGCCAGCGGAGTGACGTCCTACGGGGACTCAGATTAGACCTCGCCAGCGCTGGGGGGCTACGATCTGTGAAACTGTCGCCACTTTCGAGGGCTGCTGTGGGGCCCATGAAACTGTCGCCACTTTCGAGACCTGCTGCGGGGTCCAGCATAGTGACGTCCTACGCGGACGCAGATTGGACCCGTCATTCTACTTCGATTATCCCGCATCTGCGATCGACTGTATGTGTGCGAGGAACTAGACATGGAGTGGTCTGGCACTGACTGACGTCAAATCGTTGTGTGCCAGTGTCTCCTGGGGCGTTGCCTGATGTGGATGCAGCTCGTCGGCGCTGCGACTCGAGCTGGCGGTCGTCCTTCGGACCCGCAGAAACATCTGCTGAGCTCGATGAGCTAGGGGAACTACAGGAAAGAAGTGCAGGAAACGGAGGCCGGTCATGCACTCGCCGATACCTCGTTGCTCTGTCATCGTCTTTGCTGTTGCATGATCCTTATCTGCCTGCCGGCGCCGCGGCTCGAGCTGGCGGTCGCCCTTCGGGCCCGCGGGAACATCTTCTGAGACAAGTGGACGCCGCCGCCTTACTTGCAGGCAGCGCATTGCATTCGCGGACAGCAGCATGGCAGACCGCAGTGAGATCCTCAGTCGCGTGGTGTTGCCAAGCCTGGTGGAGACGCGCGTGATCGACCTGAAGTCCCAATCGCGCGTGCACTGTACCTGCGTGGCGTTCAGGCACGCGCGTGATGCTGCTCGCTCCGCGTTCAACCAGTACGTCGCCAGTGCAACTTTGGACGATGGACAACCGATTGATGATACGCGACCCCGGCCTTGAGTTTCTTTCCCGCGGGCCGCCCGCAGACCTGGCGGCGCGCCTGCGAGCGTTCAGCTCCCGCGCTGAAATGTGCGGGAAGGAGGCGGAGAAGCTAGCGGGCGAGCTACGCCTCGCTCGTTCCTTGCACTCTAAACAAGTTTTATCATGTGGAACTCTGCGACGACATGGCGCAGGCAGCGCTGCGGGTTTAGCTCGCACTTGAAAAACGCGGCAGTCTTCTGTCTCCTCCCGCCACTTTCATCGTCGTCCTATTCCCCGCCTCACCTTCTCCATGCATGCTGCTGCTTCCGCGATGGCCTTTCGCCCCCCCCC